GGACATTTTCCAACGTGCGGTCATTTGTGTCTCTCCCCCCCCCCCCTAATTCTACTTTGCGGACATTTTTTTCCTACAATTAAGGAAAAATGACCGCAAAGTAGAAGACACGTAAAGAATAGATACGGTAAATCGTCGAATTGTGTAATTAATGCCATTGAATGAGGAAGAAAACAAAAATGATTGCATCTTTTATAGCTGTGTTCAACAATGCGCATCACCGAACAGTGATTTATCTAGTGGGTGGCTGGGTGGGCGCCGCCCACCCTAAATTTTGATTTGCCCACTCGAAAATATACAGCAGCCATCCGTCTACTGGGTGGGCCGAGTGGGTGCCGCCCACCCGAAATTTCGACTCACCCACTCGGAAAACGAAACCTAGATGAAACACTGTCACCGAAAAATATTTCCATTGTTGTTTATATTGACCTCGAGCAATGAACAAGAATCTTTTGTTCAATGTATTCGTTACCATGGATAATATAGCGAGATGAGAGCGAAGAATTGATCATTCTGATTCATAGGGCAATGTATTAGCGGTGTAACTAAAATATTTTTCTCTTTTCTCTTGCTTTCTCCGTTATATTCGATGAGCAATTATTCGTCAAATACAGTGGCGAACATGCAAGAGAAAAATATCTTAGACTATGTCATTGCAATGTATGATCATTTTTCAAAACAGAACTACTTTTACTTATTCTAAAAATTAATCAATAGTTAATGGAAAGATATTGACTTTGTTACAATTGTTCGAAACATGTGATTCTTATTTTCTCGCCATAGTGTTCATTCTCATTGTCGAATAAAATAATATTTCAAACTTGTCTGCTGTTTCGGAATCGGGAAAAAAGTCACTATTCTGATCTGTAGACTTGAGTCTCCATCTGAAGAATCAATAAAATAGATATAAAAACTTGACTTTTATTTCATTATTATGTATTCTCTAGATACATGCCTGGAGAAAGACTATATCTATAAAGATAGAGACATAGTGGCTAGAAACTACTTACAATGAATAGACAGTCAGTAACTGCTGACAACTACTTGTTTGAGATGAAATCAAACATAAAGAGAAAAAGAGTTCATATGAATTAAATAAAATCGTTCATGAGTTTGATGACATATAAAGTGAAAGATATTTTTCTAACACATCTCAATATTCATATGATCTTATTTTCTTTTCTCTCTACAATCATTAGTGTATTATGTTCAGATTTATCAAATTCCTTTTTTTAATAAGCAAATATCGATCTAATATTCATTTGAAAAGAGAAGAATTGTAAATGTTTTTTTGAATAGATTTTTATAGAGACAAATTGAATACTGATGCATTTCAGCATTGTCAATAGGGAGATGAAAAGAGACATAAGATTATATGTGATTGAATTTTGTTGTGCATAATATTTGATAATTTCTAATCAGTTTTCTTGAAAAAGAATAGTATTGAAAAACAAAAACAAAGTAGTTAAACTAATTGGTTTGCTAGAAAACACAGAAAATGAAAATTTCCTATTATCATTAACAATAAGAAATTTATTCGATCATGTATAATATGACAATATGATGTTGAAGATAAAGCAACAAGAAAAAGATGAATAATTAGATATTCTAACTGAACATTTTCATCTTGAATTAATGGCTCATTCTAGATTATAGATACTATAGAAAGCGAGGAAGATGATTTTAAAAAAATTTAATAATTGCCAATAGTAGTTTAAAACGTAAAGTTACATAATTTGCTGACATCTTTTCTATTCCATATTTTCCTTTGCGAAATTTTTCTTTGTATGTTTTCTTCAACACTAAAACCAAATTCTACCTTCAACTTCATCAGTAAGTTTTTGTCATTCTAAGCAATATTTGCTTCTTGTTTTGTTCTTGAAGTCATATATCTATGTTAAATGAGAATAAGAATAACAAGGACACAAGGAAAAAAGAAAAAGAACAATGTCATAATGAAAGAAATAAATGTTTTTTTTAATTCAACAAGTTCATTCACGACGTGGCGGTTGACATTCTGTATGATAAAACTGAAAAAACAAGAGAATGATGGTAGCATGAAATCATTGAGGGATGTTCCCAATTTGCTTGTTGGCCACGAACATGTAGAGAAATTGGGTACATGTTTATCTACTTGTTGTTAAGGACAGTCTCTTGTCTTTCATCTATCTATCTCTATCATTTCTCTACTAGCTAGTAGAGCAATGATAGAGAAAGATAGATGAAAGACAAGAGACTGTCCTTAGAAACAAGCAGATAAATATATGGCCAGTTTTTATACATGTTCGTGGCCAACAAGCGAATTGGGAACCTCCCTCATTATAACACTTACATTCAACCCTCCTGACCAATACACGACTTTAATAGCAAATTGACCAGCTGGTAAATCTCGTCCACATTGACAACACGTTTTATCATTTTGAAGAAGAACAGTAAGCCGCTAAAGGAAATATGTACAATTATTATTATTATTATATTTTTTCTTGTAAATTTACTCACACACTTGATTCCGCATTGTCGACCGAATGCCAACTAAAAACAAAAAATTTATTAAACGATTAGTTCAATATAAAACTTACGCTGTTAACCTTTTCCATTCCGGCATTTGCTTGCGTTCTGCACGAACATGAAAAAAGATAGTTTAATCTCTCTCTCTTGCGTTCAGCTACCACAATCATATGTTTTTGAATTCTAGATTCATTATTCGTATCCATACGAAGTAATTTTCATTTGAACATATCATATGATATTCGTCATCTAAGAAGACGAAAGAACGCAAAATGTTTCTTTTTCGTTCTGCATGCCATCTCGTAGATGCCATGAGGGATTGAAAGGGTTAAACATTTGATTTTGGATCAAGAAAAAATACCCGAAATAAATAAGAAAACTTTAAAAAAACAATCTAGAAAAAATGCATAAAAATCTTATTGATTTATTGATAAACGATCAAATACAAATAAATCAAAAAAATGCTTGTAAAGTACTTTTAAGTACGCCATCCACACTAAAGGACGGGGGTGGATATTCTAGCAAAACAGGGCCCTATTTGAAAATTTTCAGAAAACCCCCACTAATTTTATATGGTTAGAAAGATAATAAACTCTACTATTTATCTGTATCAAATTTTTTACCAAGGTAATACTTTTTACTAATAATTCGGCATATATATGGTTATGGGTATATTAATCGTAGTAGACAGAGGGACTTAAGGGCACATAGCACTACAAAACACATCAAAGCAACTACTGTTATATATCAGTCCATGCGCCAGAAAATGCTTAACAAAACTGTATAAAAATATATATGGTTCAACTATCATATACAGTACTTTTGATACAGATACCTGTAAAATCTATACACAGATGACAACGGATTCTTGGCTTGTATACCCTTTTCTCTAGTATTCGACTACACTCTGCCGTCATTTTTTCTGCATAGATAGTCCCTATTGTAGCCTACAAAATCATAAGAACATCGAGCTTTCAAATGCTTGCCGAAAATTTTTTTCAAATACCATATTCGTATCTCTATAGTCAATTCATAGGATCCAGGCAGGGTTTTGATTCAGATCTCTGTTATTCGACTACACCCCGCCGTCATTTTTTCTGCATAGATAGTCCCTATTGTAGCCTACAAAATCATAAGAACATCGGGCTTTCAAATGCTTGCAGAGTACCTTCAATTATTACTCTATTATCCTAGTTATAATATCAAGTGTATACAATCCGTATTGGAAGTACTAATACTCTAGAAAGAGGGTTTTCTTTTACGAAAGTTCAATTCTGGTGTTTCTATGAGAGAAGAGGTTTTGTGTCGATCTATGAAAGATAGTAATATTCGAGGTTGTTAAAGTCTGCATTATCAGCTCGAAGGTAACTTATGTAATTATTGTATTGCAGAGGGGAAAAATTGGTGTATATAGATGATGATTTATCTTATATAATGTAAGTGAATCACTCTAGAGCATAATATTCAGAAAACGTTGTCGAATGAAAATGGCGTCTTGCCTCTATATCATTTGAACGGTGATTGGTACTGCTGATATCTTATATTGGTGACGGAGGACAGATCAATGAATAAAAGAAAATATGGATATATAGTTTGGTTTAGTCATTGACATATATAGTCTGTGCTCCATTGCTTATTAAAACAGCTATTTTTCCATTGTTTATCAAATCGATTGTGTTATCTGTAAAGTATGGTTGGTGAAAGAGATTGTATTTGTTGTGGAAAACGACTTGGTAAAAATGATAAACGTCCTCCGATTAACAATCGGCTTTGGATTTTCATTAGTGCTCGTCTGTTTCCTTCACCAATACCTGTTGGCAGCTTTATCTGTGCAACATGTCGTTGGATGTTTAAAAATTGGCGATTTTGACGAACCTTTAAAAAATTTATTTTTTCTATTTACATATGATAAAAAGAGAGTATTTATTCCAAGTTGATTTTTTTTCAAGAGCTTTTTCATAAAATTGTTCAACATCTTTTGTTTCTATCACATTAATTGACAAACGAGATGTTTTCATTAAAGAAACACTTACTCGAGCATTATTACTGATCTAAAAACAATAACAATTATTAAATAAAAAAAAAAGAAGAAGAATAACAACCGCAAACTAACATGTTTAATATCAATCCTTGGAATTCGTCCAATTAATATTGTTTCTTCAATATATAATAGAATATTCACCGGTCGAATCAACAGTTGATTGACGATCAATATATGAAAGAGTTCTTCTCGATTACTTCATTTATTAATCATCTTGAACAACAACAAAATAAATTTAAATTTAATAAAAATAAAAATTTTTATTTTTACTTGTTCAGATAAAATAACTCTGGGTGTCTAATAAAACCATTTTTCATTTTTATATCAATCAGGATTAAAAGCTCGGATTTTCTTTTGTCGATAATGTAATATAATTATGTTCACGCGATTCAAATGAGCGATCTTCATAAAAAAAATTTTCATCAGAAGAATATCTATAGGAAACATCACTTCAAGATAAATTCATTTCAGATTCAAATCGACGACGACATTTTACTGTTGGTTCAACATTTTCTAAAAAGCTATCTTTAATATTTTGATCATTAGAAGAAAAAAAGAAACATACGAACAATAGTTGTTTCGTTTTGAATTGAATAATTATTTTCATCAAAAATCAATTCATTGTGTTCTCGTTCTTTTAAACGTTCCTCACACATAAATTCATTTTTTCCAGTTCGTAATTGAATTGGAAAACGAAGAACATTCATTGTTGTACCAGCAAGATTTGATACAGTTGCACGTTGAATACAATCAAGTACATGAATATGACAAAGATCAGAATCAATAAGACTATTAACCCTTTGGGGACCAAGGACGTATATATACGTCCTCACAACTGAAACAGAAGACCCAACTGCTTTGGATATTTCGAAGTGGAATCATTGTATATTTTATTTCCTTTTCCACCAGAGAGTTCATTGTCATACTCTATAGAAAGAAGAGCTAGCCTCACAAGTATATAGTTCATCATTTCTAAGTTATACCTAATTTCCACGATACTATTTACCTCTTCTCGAAAAAAAAGTCGGTCCCCAAAGGGTTAAATAAACAACTTTTTCCAGTATTTGTACCAGCAAGTAAATAAACATCATCTATGAATATCTTTATTAAAATAAAACAAAAGAAATGAAAAAAGTAAAAAGACAAACCATGTTGTGACCAATAACGAAATCTTTTCTTCTATAAGTTCTTCAATTCCATATCCAGTTCGAGCACTAATTAAACCATTATATTTAATTATATGTTTTCCTAAACTACGCTTTGTACATTCATTTTCAAGACATTGACGAACATTGGATAAATAAGTTTCATACTGCCTAAAATAAAATAATTATTAATTTGAACATATCCTCACACTCTCAATATATATTGAATTTAATTTTTTTATTTAAAACAAACTTACCTTTTGCTAATAGATCAACTTTATTTCCAAGAACAAATATAATATTTGGTGAAGTATTACGATTTTCTTTTGATTGATCAATAAGATGTGACCATAATCGACTAATTCAATTTGGTATATCAACAAGAGCAACAATTAATATAATTAATGCGCCTTTTCGT